TTTTAAGTTGTTAAAGTCATTTGTTGGGAAGTACATCTAAAACTATTGAGGTATCGCCTGCTGAGCAGGTTAGTTGAATTCTATATGTTACATACAACCAAAGATAGAATAGAATGTATTTACATCCCGCTTTCCAAGTATACCACTATATATTGGAGTCAGGGCCTTGTTGAGAAGTATCTGATGACTTGCAATGTCATTTCCACCAATACAACTCTTTTAAAACATATAATCTCTTTGGAATTCTCACAGAAATAATGACAAGATATAAACATGAAATGCGATTATTGTAATAATTTAAATCCAGATTTGCAGCGTATTCCTGGTAATGCAAGCTGAACTTAATTGCTATTTCGTTTTGGTGTTGAGAATGTGGACTCGGATAACGTTCCTGGTGATAGCCTAAAATAGGCGGCTTTACATAGCAAAGTCACCTCAGTTGCAAACACAGACTCGGAACGCACAAATTCGGCAATAAAATGGATGATCATGCTGTGTGGAGCACTCTGCCAGTGCGACACAATTATAAAGTTGATCGTCGTCAGATTGGGTATCGGCTTTCGCCAGGACAGTTATCCTGTGCTAAAGTGATTGGGGCCATTATGGAAATGAAGGGATTAGCCAGGGCGAATACTGTGCCGTGAAGCCCTTGTGAAAGGGCTGTCTTTATTGTACAGTTCTGAACAAGGAGGAGCAGTTTTAATCGTTTTTAAGTGTAAATGGTCAAACACGATAAGGCATGGAATTGATCCACCATAAATTTGATCGCAATTTGAGTCCATTGATGATGTTGCCACAGTTTCTGTTGAATAAGATGGTGAAGACGTAGCGTAGGCTGGTGTTGGTGGATTACAGCGACCACTGTCATGCCTGGGTAGTGTTAATCAGACTTACTGGTATTGGTGGCGCAGAATTCCTTTTTTATTGAGTCTTTGTTAGGGCATTTATCAGTTCTCTATGTGACGGGAAGGCTTGGGACGTGGTCCTCTTGGGAAATGACCGTCTGGGTTGGGTAAGCTGGGCGTCTGAGGTGACTTGTGTTCTCAAGACTTTAGGTGAGGCTGAGCACACTCAGTGTTATTGTATGTAGCATACGAATCAGCATGTGTTCATTATCCTGGTCGTGATTTAGTTCCAAGTTCTGTTAGTTTGTAAAACAAATCCCAATATTAACTTCTTCTTTGTAAAATACAGTGTTTTGATGATACGATTGGAACTAAGACATAAAATTTCTAGGTTGTCCACATGGTAAAAAATGCAATAAAGGGGTATATTCTAGGGACAAAAAATAACTTTTCTGACCATAGAAGAGTACTATGTTATTTTCTGACCATAGAAGAGTACTATGTTATTTTCTGGCCTGTCCAACACCTAATCATTGGTGCTTTGAAATTAATCTTATATCTCATTTAAGGTCAGAGGTCAATGTACTCCATTTTATATGTCAGTTATGTGGTGTTGATTGCTGTATAACTTTATTTCCCGAGAAGGAAATAACTTCTGAATGGAACTTTCTGTGGCGTAATCACCTCCATTATCAAATTACAACGGGGGTTAAAAATCTAATCAAAAATTTAATTATTTGAGCTGAAAATAAATTTGTATTAAAAGGTATAAGAATATCTGGCGGCATAATAGCTTAATTGTATGAGTTCTGAAACGGGAGAGAATCCCCACATTATATTGTGTATAAAACAGTATTTTGAAAATGCTTAGAAAAACGTAGAACGTTTGTTTCTCATGATATATTGCCAGATGGTTTTTGTGCCAGTGAATTCCTGGAATTAAAGGGCCCCTAGAGTACACAGAACGATTAAAAAGGCAGATTTCACAGAATTATTGACTTTATATGATGATTGCGTTACAAAGCAGAAGCTAATTGCGGCAATGGTAGCAGTACTGATAAAGTCAGAGATGGAAAAACCAAAATAAAGCCAAGATACATTGATGAGGCTTCACGATAGTAAAATACACAGGTAGTGCCACAGTACTTCAAATATACTGATAGTGCTACAGTGCTATAAATACACAGATAGTGCCACAGTACTTCAAATATACTGATAGTGCTACAGTGCTATAAATACACAGATAGTGCCACAGTACTTCAAATATACTGATAGTGCTACAGTGCTATAAATACACAGATAGTGCCACAGTACTTCAAATATACTGATAGTGCTACAGTGCTATAAATACACAGATAGTGCCACAGTACTTCAAATATACTGATAGTGCTACAGTGCTATAAATACACAGATAGTGCCACAGTACTTCAAATATACTGATAGTGCTACAGTGCTATAAATACACAGATAGTGCCACAGTACTTCAAATATACTGATAGTGCTACAGTGCTATAAATACACAGATAGTGCCACAGTACTTCAAATATACTGATAGTGCTACAGTGCTATAAATACACTGATAGTACCACAGTACTATAAATACACTGATAGTGCTACAGTGCTATAAATACACTGATAGTGCTACAGTGCTATAAATACACTGATAGTGCCACAGTACTTCAAATACACTGATAGTGCTACAGTGCTATAAATACACTGATAGTGCTACAGTGCTATAAATACACTGATAGTGCTACAGTGCTATAAATACACTGATAGTGCTACAGTACTTCAAATATACTGATAGTGCTACAGTGCTATAAATATACTGATAGTGACACAGTACTTCAAATATACTGATAGTGCTACAGTGCTATAAATATACTGATAGTGCCACAGTACTATAAATACACAGATAGTGACACAGTACTTCAAATATACTGATAGTGCTACAGTGCTATAAATATACTGATAGTGCCACAGTACTATAAATACACTGATAGTGCCACAGTACTATAAATACACTGATAGTGCCACAGTACTATAAATGCACTGATAGTGCCACAGTACTATAAATACACAGATAGTGCCACACAAAACTATTGATACACAGTTACTGCCCCAAAAAACTACGGATACACAGATAGTACCACAAAGTACCATAGCTACTGAGGGTGCATCACATAGCTATGGATACTCAGACAGTACCTCACATAGCTATGGACACTCAGACAGTACCTCACATAGCTATGGATACTCAGACACTACCACACATAGCTATGGATACTCAGACACTACCACACATAGCTATGGACACTCAGACAGTACCTCACATAGCTATGGACACTCAGACAGTACCTCACATAGCTATGTATACTCAGACACTACCACACATAGCTATGGATACTCGGACACTACCACACATAGCTATGGACACTCAGACAGTACCTCACATAGCTACGGACACTCAGACAGTACCTCACATAGCTATGGACCCTCAGACAGTTCCTCACATAGCTATGGATACTCAGACATTACCTCACACACATATGGATACATAGATAGTACCACAAAGTACCATAGCTACAGAAAGTGCATCACATAGCTATGGATACTCAGACACTACCTCACAAACATATGGATACATAGATAGTACCACAAAGGACCATAGCTACAGAAAGTGCATCACATAGCTATGGATACTCAGACACTACCTCACAAACATATGCATACATAGATAGTACCACAAAGTACCATAGCTACAGAAAGTGCATCACATAGCTATGGATACTCAGACACTACCTCGCAAACATATGGATACATAGATAGTACCACAAAGTACCATAGCTACAGAAAGTGCATCACATAGCTATGGATACTCAGACACTACCTCACAAACATATGCATACATAGATAGTACCACAAAGTACCATAGCTACAGAAAGTGCATCACATAGCTATGGATACTCAGACACTACCTCACAAACATATCGATACATAGATAGTACCACAAAGTACCATAGCTACAGAAAGTGAATCACATAGCTATGGACACTCAAACAGTACCTCACATAGCTATGGACACTCAGACACTACCTCACATAGCTATGGACACTCAGACACTACCTCCCATAGCTATGGACACTCAGACACTACCTCACATAGCTATGGACACTCAGACACTACCTCACAAACATACGGATACTCAGACACTACCTCACAAACATATGGATACATAGATAGTACCACAAAGTACTGAAGATCCACAGTTATTGCTTGTAATAAAATCTATTTACGCATAGTGTGGACATGTAGTCATAGTCCTTGTAGATTCTGACCTCCTTTCCACCCTCTGGGGGGGGGGGAATTGTTGATGATAACATTATAGTTCCAATTGTTTTTGCCAGGCAGATTTACAATATGGTGGACGATTTTATTACTACACAAGATCTTTCTATCTTTCTACTCGCATGGTCTAGGATGTTACCATGGATACCAGACAATTTGAATTCTCTGTTTTCCCCCTTTGATATATGACTGTACAGTCACAGGAGATTCAATGTTGTCTCCTGCCTGACTCTGGTCTGTTTAGAATAAACCGAAAATCTTATGGATATTTCAGAGGAAAAATCGACATATGATATATATCATGACCTGAAAATAAAACAGTTAGAACGTCTTCTACTGTTCTTGTGGTTAAGATTTGATATATGATTTAATGAACAGGTGACGTTATATGATAATCACGTTGTTATCACATATGAATTTTAAGCTTATTGTACATTGGAATTTCAGCGAACTTCTATTAACTGTGTCCAGCAATTTGTATAACACACAGGTATTATTGAAAGTTAGAATACAAATTTATTGATGGTGGGTACTTCACAACTAAATCTAGTTTTATGATTTTACTGTAAACAAAACCTATTTTAGCGCAAGTCTTAGTTTAGCATTGTTTGCGCTTTAGATATTGGGCTAAATTATGACACGCTAACTGAAGTTCCCATGTATTGTGTTTCTATTGCATATTTTGTGGGTGCACCAATTCATAGCTGTGCTAATTTGTTAAAACTTGATAATGCTCTAAAATTTGAGTGCTCTAAAATAAGCATTTCAGATTTGATCATGTGACATTTTGGTATATCTCCTTTTCAGATGACCATTCCCGTGTGATTCTGTCCAACACTAGTAACGTGTCCGGCTCAGACTACATCAATGCCAGCAGCATCGTGAGTATCTCCTTCTCTCAGCAAACGGCAAATGGACACAGATTTTATCCAGACAATTTTGTTTCCAAAAAATATTTAAAGTAATCCATTTACAAGATTAATGAAATTGCATTGATAGTAAAATGTTCAGATTTACGTGGATTAGCCTAGACTTGTGGATTATTGTAGTGTTGGGTAGTCTTATATTTGTTTTGTGGATCATCATGGTTTTGATTGACAAAGTACCAATGCTTTTACATCAGGCAAGTCTATACTAAATGTTATGCATATTAGGTAATGGTCATTATCAATAATGTCACAAACACATTAGGTAATGGTCATTATCAATAATGTCACAAACACATTAGGTAATGATCATTATCAATAATGTCACAAACACATTAGGTAATG